TACTTAAATTGAAGCTCTTCCCTTTTTTCTCTCTACATGCACTCTCCAGTGCAATTTCGCATCAAGCGTCATACTTAGATATTTTGCTTAATTTGAATATGGTATACGAGTATTATCAATTGTGATTTGTATGTGATTTACGTTTTTGTTTGTAAAATCAACGTGAATTGATTTGGTTTCATTTAATTTTCTGGTCCAATTTTGAACTTCTAATGACAGCGTTTTGCAGTTTTTCTGTTAATTGTTCAATACTTTTTACCACTGTAATTGAACCAATATCGCGGGCGAATGTTTCTAAATGACAATTTTCTGGTTTTGGGATATCTCATGTGAATAATAAATATAAGTAGGGGCCTAGCACGTTATTCTGTGGTACACTTCCCTTTAATTTTCGTAAAGGACCCCGCAGAAACCTCATGAGAACTGGCCCTCAGTGGAATTTCGTGAAATTTTGCATATTGATAGTTCTTGACCTATAGTTTAAAAGTGTCCATGGGCACAAAGTTCTAAAAATTCGCTTTTTTTGAGTTACAGTCGTTTGAAGTTGTCATATGTGAAATTGCTCAAATCTTATACAGTCTAGTTTTTTCGGTTACTTCGTGAATTTTAGAACGTGCATATACATATGCATAGTATAATACGTTTCAAATTATTCAAGTCCAGAAATGGCGACTTTTAAACCATAGACGTCCTAAGAGAGGTTTAAAAATAATTATGGGTAAATAATAAGGTAAGTATGTATGTACAGTGTGTCCCATATTGGTTGTCCATAAGGGATAACTCGGTTGCTATTGGAGTTAGAAGGATGCGGTTTCCGCGAACGTGGGCTACTTTTTTGTCAAACGAAAGATGGCGCCAACAGAATTGTCATCGCTCTTTTTGTTTTAAAGATACAAGGTGTTTTTGAAAAAGTTGCATTTTGAGACACCCCTTGTATCTCGGTTCTCTCATAAGTGATCGGAAAGTTGACAACAGTTTCTTATAGATATTTTTACGTAGCTTCCAGGGGGGTAGTTTTTCTCTAGAAGTGATATTTTTCAAATTATGAACCAAAAATACGTTTTTTCAAATCAGACACCCTATATATTATAAACTCATTAAATAGCTCTGCTTTTGCTGATTTCAATGGTATAAAATTTGATAGGTTTATCTCTAACAGTTTTCGAGCAAAACATTTTTTCCTGTCATAAGAAATAATGTGCTAAAAAGAGGCCTTTCTTATTTTGCTCACAGATCCAAAGTCCTTTACTGATACATTGTTTCTTATGACAAAAACAGATATGATCAGTGGCGCACCCAAAAAATATGTTTCGGGGGCCCTACATAGGTTGTGGCTTGTGATTAAAAATCTAAAAAAAAAATGTAGGTGTCAGGGTGCCACGCCTTGTTGTTGCTACATTTCATATACGTAAAAATACAGTTTTAGAGGATTGGCCTGGAGGGGGGGCCTAGGCCGATGGCTCCCCCAGGGTGCGCCACTGGACATGATAGAGGTAAACCTATCGAACTTTATATCATTGAAATCAGCAAAAACAGAGCTATCCAATAAGCTATTAATATACAGGGTGTCTCATTTGAAAAAACGTATTTTTGATTCATAATTTGAAAAATATCAGTTCTAGAGAAAAACTTACTACACCACTGGAAGCTACATAAAAATATCTATAAGGAACCGTTATCACCTTTCCGATCACCTATGAGAGAACCGAGATACAAGGGGTGTCCCATAATGCAACTTTTTCAAAAACACCTTGTATCTGAAAAACAAAAAGAGTGATGACAATTCTGTTGGCGCCATCTTTTGTTTGACAGAAAAGTAGCCCACGTTCGCGAAAACCGCCTCCTTCTAACTCCAATAGCAACCAAGTTATCCCTTATGGACAACTAAAATGGGACACACTGTACAGGTAGTAAAGGTACATGTTTGATACTAAATTTATGAAGGAACATTATATTCAGTAGAAAATAAAGCATTGTATGTACAGGGTGGCTCAAATTCGAGCCTCATCATTGGGATCTCGGAAACCGTAAAAGATACAGGGTCGGTTAAATTATGGCAAAGTTGCGCAATTTATGACCAATAGAATGCCGTTTTGAAATTAGGAAGATTCCGAATACTTCCGGAGATATTCGGAAAAAATCGAAATTTTGTAAAATCGTTTTTATTTTTTCCTGGGCTTATTTGGAGAGCAATTTTAAAATAAAGGTCACTTCATCATTGCCACTTTTTCCCCTTTAGAAGATGGCGCTACTAAATTTAAAATTCGACGTTTCGTCTTCAGGCGGCAATCTTCAACTTACTTTTTTTTAAATACGGACCTGGATTTTTTATTTGCGATTTTGTCATCTTTAGGCATCCTAAAACCGATAATGCTTATAATGTTTCAATAACACAGTAAAAAAAGCAGGTCTGTATTTAAAAAGAATAAATTTATGATGATTTAATACCGCTATCATGTAGAGAAGAAAAGTGACAATGGGAATTTGAAATCAGTTTTTCAAAATATATTTTAATAAAATCTGGAAAAAATCAAAACTATACGAAAAAAAAAAAGAATTTCTCGTATTTTTCAATTTTTTTCCTGATTTCATTTAAAAAGATGTTGAAAAACTAATTTCACATTCTCATTGTCACTTTTTCTTCTCTACAAGATGGCCGTATTAAATTTGAAATCCAACGTTTCGTTCCTCTGGAATCATCATCAATTTATTGTTTTAAAATACGGACCTGCTTTTTTTACTGTGTTATTGAAAAATTATTAACAGTATCGGTTTTAGGATACCCAAAGATGACAAAATCGTAAATAAAAAATCCAGGTCCGTATTTAAAAATAGTAAGTTGAAGATGACCGCCTGAAGACGAAACGTCGAATTTTAAATTTAGTAGCACCATCTTCTAGAGGGGAAAAAGTGACACGGATGAAGTGACCTTCATTTTAAAATTGCTTTTCAAATAAGCCCGGGAAAAAATAAAAACGATTTTACAAGATTTCGGTTTTTTCCGAATATCTCCGGAAGTATTCGGAATCTTTCTAATTTCAAAACGGCATTCTATTGGTCATAAAATTGCGCAACTTTGCCATAATTTAACCGACCCTGTATCTCTAACGGTTTCCGAGATCCCAATGATGAGGCTCGAATTTGAGCCACCCTGTACCATTCGAAAAAAATCAACCCACTCCTAGGGCTCGTAATTTAAACTTTCTTCTCATGGGTAAACATTCATTTAACTCACTTGGTGTATAAATAACTATTATTTTATAATTATTTTTAACCCCTTCTAAGACGCCTATGGTTCAAAAGTGGCCATTTCTGGAATCGTATAATTTAAAACGTATTATACTACAATGATGCTATGGTGTTCTAAAATTCACGAAGTAACAGAAAAAACTAGACTGTATAAGGTTTGAGCAATTTCACATATGACGCAATCTCAAACGAGTGTAACTCAAAAAAGCGAATTTTTAGAACTTTGTGCCCATGGACACTTTTAATCTATAGGTCAAGAACTATCAATATGCAAAATTTCATGAGATTCCACTGAGGGCCAGTTCTCATAAGGTCTGCGGGGTCCTTTGACTCCAAATCTTCCTGTTTGACTCTGAAATGTCTATCATATATACAGGGTGTCTCTAAAAGGTCTGTACAAAATCCTAGCACATATTCTTAAGGTCAAAATAAGTCGATTTGAAGCAACTTAACTCAGTCTGAAATTGCTCCATTTCCGAGATACATAGGGTTTTCATCAATTCTTTTCATTAGAATATGGTAATTTTCAGCGTAGTTAGTTCTTGTTGAGTAAAGAGAGTTTTTGGACTAAAATGCAGAAAATCAAGAGTATTTTGTGTATTATGCAAGAAAAATGATATAATAACTATAAAGATATTTGTAATTAAAGTATCAAAATAACTCAAACCACCCAAGGTATATTTCAAATTTGTAATGAAGCTTTGATTCAAATTACAGGAAAAGATCAATTTCTACCGTAAAAAGAATATTGTTTCACTTGTCACGTCAGTTGTGAGGTCAACATATAAATAGTATCGTGAGAATTAGACCGTGATTAAAAGGAAAATTTCTTGCAAACAATACATACATAATTTCCCTACATCATAGTAAATTGCGTTTTTGGCAAATTATAATTAAAATAGTGAATATTCTTATCAGTAAAGATACCTACTAATAATAAGTTGTTTTGATGCTTAATCGATATTTCCAATAAATACCAAATCGATGGAAATATTTTTATGTAATAATGTATTAATTATCACAATTGTTGTCCGTTTAGTTGAAACTATTATTAAAAATGAAGGTTATTTAATGGTAAACAAATTTATTTAAAATCATATAGGAAATGAATTTTGTTGTTAACAATTTTTATTTTTCTATCGGCACTTGTCATATGTGAACTTTTGGCTTATAGCCATAAACTGTGTTTATTTTCGTTAAGTTTTCAAGATTGGCATACATTTGCAATTAGAGTGGCTTGGAACAATAAACAGTGTTTGAAAATCTTGATTCGGTGATGTTTGATGAGTTGAAAATGTAATTTCGTTCGAGTACATTGATAATAAAGTTGAATTTTTGATGAATTAGAAAAATCAAATTTCCAGCTCTGATTAGCAAAATTACAAGACTTTAACATTTCTCAAATTGTTGAATGATTGGATTGAAATTTCCAGATCTTTTAGAGGAAGGCGATATCAATCAAGAGCCAGGAATGATCAAAAAGTAACTTAAACAAGCTTGAAATCAAGAGAAAGAAAACAAAAAACACATAAAAATTATTGTCCATAAATGATTTTAAATCCTTATTTTATAATCATCTCCAGCTTGAGCTCTTATCGAATTTTCTTGGATATTTTTCTAAGGGCTCAATTATATGTAATCCATCAATTTTATATAATTTGTACTATTGTCAAGTCAACTTGACCCAAAGTACTTCAAATTTGAACCAATTAAATAATAAATAAATAATATAAAATTGAAATTATTATTACCTCATATCGAGAAAATTTGAATCTCTCGATGACAGGAGCCCGTTTCCTAGACAAAAAGTTCCTTGGCATGTGCACAGCCATTTTTATTTATTAAGTCAAAAAGTATAGAATAAAATCACAACTAATTTTTCGCACCACGAAACCTTACGACTGTTTCTCAAAAGGACGCTTTCAACACGTTGGCACGCGGACAGTTGTGTTTTCCAATTCCAGTCCGATTCTTCCTTTTATATTAGGCTAAACGAGCTCGAACGCGCATGCTTTTGCCTTCTTTTTAGTCAGTTTTTCAACGTCTATTTCTTGAAATTTTTTTTAGGGTTTTTTTTCTTCGGTGTTGTTTGATGGTCACGGCCGCACCAATAAACTTTTGTCTGTCAAGGTCTGAGTAAAAGACGAGAAATTACGCTATGACGATGTTAACGACCGGTTTAAGACGATACAACTAATTTAGTTTAAGTTTTAATTTACTTGTAGTAGAATCGCAGGTGGATAATGAGAGAAGTATGGAAAGTTGCTAATTTGTATATTGTGTTTTTGTCTGTCAATAATTTCTTTGTATTGGATTTGTTTTTTGATTTGGTCTTTGGACAATTTGTCACTTTACAAATTCGTGAGTAAGCCCAGGAATCTCCTCTCCTCTACAATATGGCATTATCAACTTTGAAATCCGACGTTTCGTCTTTGGGCCACCTCCTCTTAGCCTTGTCAGAAAAAAAATAGATATTATTTTTGAATTTTCATCAAAAGATGCCGGTGTGAACCGTGTAAACCCAGTCATTTCGATTGAGTTTATACAGAGTAGTATAGAAATTGAATTTTGCTTTGAGTGCGTTTACATCAGAACATTAAACTAATATAAAAATTGGTATTTTTTTATCAGTTCAGAAGCTTTTATTAATGTAGGAAACAAAAATTTGCTTATATTTTCAAAGATTTAAAAAAAAAAAAATTAAATTTTCAATTTATCCAAAGGTGGGTTGGAGCAAAATGTTCAACTTGAGTGTATATTGTATTTATTTTTATTTGCTCAAATTTTAATAAACGGTTCATTATCAGAATCCCCACAGTGGGTCAAATTTATTTGGAATTGCAAATTTTGGATTTATAAATTGAAGTTTTCTCTTTGTGGAAAAGGTAATTTCAAGTTGAATTGAAGTTTTAAACTAAATTTCGAAGCTTTTCTTACGTTAAGGTATGCAAAAATTATTGAAATCTGCAAAAATCACTTGTGCAAAGTTCTTCTAATGATCACAGTGACTTGAAACTTTCAGGAATCATGAATTGAAGTTTCCTCTTTGTGGAAAAGTTAATTTTAAGTTGATTTGAAAAATCAAACATTGGTATACCAATTTTGGACTGTATATATGTGCTTGGGAATTTGTCTTAATTGTGATTGGGGGATTTGGAGTAGATTCGGGATGAGGGAACGGAGGTAAACTGGGCGCGAAGTAATTATGGAACATTTATTGAATAGGTAAACTGGGCCGAGAAAAATTAATCTAGAAATGATAGGTAAACTGGGCGAGAGGCCTTATTTAATACTTCAGCTAAATTGGACGAAAACAGGTAGACGAGAAATCAGCAAAATTTAGGTTTAGCAATATTTGTTTTCACATTTTATAATTACAGTAAACTTTGATCACAGTACAGGAATTGTGTTAACTTTGTAATTGAACATAGTAGGTATGTAATGAATAGAACTTCCGAATTATACCAAAATATAATAAACGTGGATCTGCTTTCATGTCTTCAGAATTGAAGAACTTTTTATTGTTACCAGTTGTTTAATTTTATCTTGGAGAGCTCAAGCTTTAGTCACTTCCAGTACAAATCATAACAGACGAATGGTAATCAACTGTGCCTAGAATATAAACAAATTCACTGAACTAGACGCATATCCACTTTCAAACATAGAAGACATTATTTCAAAAGTGTCAAGGTACCAAGTTTTCAGCACTATAGATCTAAAGACTCTAAAGAGTGCATATCACCAAATGCCAATTCTCGAACATGAAATTGAAATACCTTATACCTCGTTTAAGGCGTGCGGCGAACTATATCAATTCACGAGAATTCCTTTTGGTGTTACCAATGGAGTTGCTAGTTTTCAAAGAGTTGTTGACAGTATAATCAAGAAAAAAAATCTTCAACGCACATATGCCTATCTTGATGATATCACAGTAGGTGGTAAGACTCAAGAAGAGCATGACAAAAATCTTCAAAAATTCTTCGAAGTTGCTGAAAAGTATAAGCTAACTATAAACTCTACAAAATCAAAATACGGACTTAGAAAAATAAGTCTCCTAGGATCCATTATGCGAAATGGATTCCAAGATTTTCGGATAAAATCAGATCACTCCTACAAACACAATCATTTCCTATGTCACAAGAAGCTCTATCGACTTTCAAAGTTCTGAAAGAAGATATTTCAAAAGCTGTTGTCACTGCCATTGATGAAAATCTTACATTCACAGTAGAAACAGACGCATCAGACTACGCCATTGGAGGTTGCTTATCACAAAATGGAGCTCCTATAGCATTTTTCTCAAGGACACTGTCGGAAAGCGAGAAACGTCATTCGTTTGTCGAAAAGGAAGCCTATGCTAGTTGAATCACTTCGGAAATGGAGACATTATTCAATCGGACGACCTTTTCGACTAACAGATCAACGCTCTGTTTCTTTTATGTTTGATGATAAGCATGCAGGAAAAATAAAAAATGATAAAATACACGCTTGGCGGTTGGAATTGGCCTGTTACAAATATGACATTGTATATAGACCAGGAAGAGAAAACATGGTGGCTGATGCTTTATCAAGGGTTTGTGCCGTTATAAATACTAAAGAAGAACAACAGAAACTGTTAACTGCACTACAGTGTATGTCATCCAGGTGTCATGAGAATAATTCATTGGGTTCGTGGCAAAAATCTACCGTATTCAGTTGCGGATATTAGGAAAATGATTGCCAACTGTTCAGTCTGTTTACAAGTAAAGCCTTGATTTTTCAAAAATAAAAGAACATTAATAAAAGCAGCAATTCCATTTGAAAGATTATCCATGGATTTTAAAGGACCATTACCAAGTTCGACAAACAATAAATTTATATACTCACTATAATCGATGAATACTCCCGATTTCCTTTTGCTTTTCCCTGCCCTGATGTTTCAGCAGCTTCCGTTAAGAAGCACTTGACAAGTATTTTTGAACTATTTGGAATGCCAAATTTTATACACTCAGATCGTGGATCTGCTTTCATGTCTTCAGAATTGAAGAACTTTTTGCAAAAGCGAGAAATAGCTACCAGTAGAACTACCAGTTACAATCCAGAAGGAAATGGGCGAATATATAAACAACTGGTAACGATGAGATACGCTGTTGAATACAAATCATTTTCACAACAATGTATCAATTTGACATTCTTGTAATTTTTCAAGAAAAATGTAAATTGATGGATGAGTTGAGTAAAATGGATTGTTAAATTTAGCATGAAATGACTCGCAACAATTACCTAGTCGTTCTAGTGGTTGAAGCAATTTCCTCTGCCCATAGAGAAGGAGGAAATAAAGCATTTTCCATTATACCTATAAGTTTCTAAGAAATAATCACAATATTTGCCGAGATTTTCATTATGCGGTTTGCATGACATCAAATCGAAGATAAAAAAGTCTTCCTTCTACTTCATTATTTGTGCTTAGATGAGCTAACCCAAAAGTATTTTGAAGCCAGTTACCGATTTCAGTTTTTGATTTGCATTCAGAAGTTAAACCGATTGATTGTATTTTTCTGTACCATGACTGATGCAAGTGAAATCAACAACCGTTGATTTCAACACTAGGCCAAACACATATTAATGCGGCGTGGATGGCTTTTTCAAAATCAACAAAAAATTTCTTTGGTTTTAAGGTAAGGCCATATTTTCCACTTATGTTACATTTTATCAATGCAAAAACAACTTTCTGTAAGTTTGAACAGTTTTACTAGGTAACAAGCAAAACACTAATGGAACATAGTGGCCATTCTGGAACCCAAGAATTGTGGAAAATTGCGAAAAAAACTTGGTACAAAATGAACATGTGCCATCCATATCCAATATATTAACTTCAGTTAAAACACTAATGTTACTTTTACATGTGAACACAATTATATTAGTTTCCGAATTGGTAATAAATGAAAAATCTTCACGTTTGGTTGTCAATCTTGATTCACAGTAATTTCCCACAACTTCATGAACTTCTTTCATATTCTTTGGTAGCGGGCTTGGTAGAACTTTTCGACGACAGTTATAAATGTTTTTTCTCACATAACTGACGTCGGTTGTTGGTAAATTGGTCGCCAATGATTCACAAATAATTTTAGAAGGTTTTTCAGATATATCTTCTTCTGATTTTCGTTTACATGCGTTTTTGACAATTTTCTGGTTTAATTTTTGTTCATCTGTCCAGTGATTGTGAACGCCATTGACACCAAATTATTAGGGCCAACGGTATAAACCCTGGCTTTACACTTCAACACTTTTCAAAACTGTGTCTCTAGGCTAGTCAAAATAGGGGGTTGGGGTAGAAAAAATTAATAACAAAGTGATCTCTACGGAAATGAGGGAAAAAAATGGCCGCCATCTTGATTTTTTTGGAATTTATTGAATATTTCGTAAAGTATGCATTATATCAAAAAAACTCAAGAGGACTTTTTTGTGGAGAATCAAAATTCAGCTGCAAACGAAAAAGTTATTGACATTTATTTCATTTGGCAACATGGAATTTTTCAAAACATCTGAAAAAAACTCAAAAGGGTATTATTTTTTTTTGGTGCAGAATTAAAAACGCATTTAATAGAGAAAAATTCAATAAATTTAATGATCTAAATATTTTTGTTGAGAGGAAGCAAAAACGCATATGACCAGAAAAACATTTGGGCAGGAAACTACCCAGATACAGACAGCACACAAAGTCTTAAAGACGTAATTTTTAAGTCTGCATTCTGCATTACATCTGACCATCTGAAGACTAAAAAAAAAATAACGTCTAAAAACTTCCATAATCGGATGTCCCAAATTCACATCTCAAGGATAACTGAACTGAGGCACACTATTTCGTTCAGCCAGGCCTAGAAGTGAATAATGGTTCATGTATTGAAAAGAGATTTAAAGACTTCTTTTAAAAATTTCGTTGGAGACGAAGAATGTCTTAGTT